GTTGTGTGCATGTGTGTGTGTGTGTTGTGTTTGTGTACATATATGTATACATATATGTACACATATATGTATACGTATATGGTTATATGTATATATATATGTTATGTATATGCATAAGTATATACATAAGTATAAGTCATAAGTATATGTATATGCTTATAGTATAAGTATAAGTATAATGATGTATGTATGTATGTATGTATATATATATATATATATATATATATATATATATATATATATATATACATATGTTAAGTATGTATTTATTGTATGTATGTATTATGTATGTATATATGTATGTATATATGTATGTATATATGTATGTATGTATGTATATATGTATGTATGTATGCTATGTATATATGTATGTATGTATATATGTATGTTATGTATGTATGTATGTATGTATTGTATGTATGTATGTTGTATGTATGTATGTATGTATGTATGTATGTATGATGTATGTATGTAGTATGTATGATATGTATGTATAGAAATAGAATATATAGATTATAGATATATAGATATATATATATAATATATATAATATATATACAATATCTATACATAGTATATATATATATATATATATATATATTATATATACATATATATACATATATATTATATACATATATTATAAATATATTTACATATAACATATATATAACATATATATAAATAGTATATATACATATATATATAAATATATATATACAATATATATTACATATTATATATACAATATATACATATATAATATACATATTATACATATATATTACATATTATACATATATATTACATACCATATATATACATACCTATTATATACATACATATTTAAAACACTACATATATATACATACATATATATATACAATATATATACATTATATATACCACACATATACATATATACATAACATATACTATACCTATATATATACATATATATACATACATTATATATATACCATAACATATATATACGAATCTGGTGATCATTTCCATAGCAAATCACCCCAGCCGACAATTTGAATGTTAAATCCAATAGCAGGGCAAGGCATAAAGTATATCAGAGAAATTATGGGGTAAAACAAGCTGAAATAACAACTGATAACAGAAATGCATAAAACCAGCGCAAAAAATGCTTATAATTGGCTAATGAAATTCTACGGACATGTCCATCACTGAAAGTCTCAAAAAAATTCTACAGGAATTCAACCCATCTTTTGATAAATTCTACAGGAATTCACACCACCCAATACATCCTGACCAGTAAAGCAACCTAATATCATGTCAAAAATTGCCGTGTCTAGGCATGACTGCCCCCCATCACCCCCCAGGAAAACATTTTCTTCACCTTGGTATGTACTGCAAGATAGAGCTGCATACATACCTTAAATACCTTTATATCTCAATAGACCAAAATTTCCTTCACTTCTGTCTACTTTCTGGATGGCTTGGAATCTAATCACTTTTTCTGGCACTTTTGGGCACTTTACAGGTTTGCATATCAAGCTATGATAGTTACTAAGGTCTATTTCATCTGCATAGCTACTATATTGTTTTAGAAAGGACCCGGAATAGATGCAACACTGAAAATGAAACATTCCTCATAGGCATTTGTCAAAGAATGGCGGTCGCGATGTCTTGAAAGTCCCAGTGGAAAGCACAACTGCACATCTGGGTTTTGTAAAGAATAGCATAGAACTATCATAACATATAATAAAATTTTACTAAAAAAGGGATGCATAAAATACATGAACAAGGAAAATCAGACATTGAAATTTACAACACAATCGTCTTTACAAGCACTTTGTTATACATGAACTACTAGAAAGATCACAGGAATGAGTTAAGTTGTCATAGTATCATAAACATTCGTGATGTAAACAAGGCGAGCGACTTAGAAAAAATGGGATAATCTTTTTTCTCTGTCATATATCTCCTTTATTTTTTATTTGCACACCATATGCCATAGATGAAAAGTGTCTTAGTTTACATCAAGGTGATCATTCCATACTTTTTTTACTGTAACCCTGATTGTTATCTGCTGTAAATTTACCCTTTACTCTCATGTAAAAAAGATGCTCAACTAAGCTAAAATTGGCTCTCACCTCTATTCCTTTACATATAGCACCTTTGGGAAGCATTTGCACAAATATTGCCATAGAGGAAAACTGTCTTGGTTTGGTTCAATATGGATAACAGGGTAGTGGCTTACTTTTAAAAGTGTTTCTTGTGCATATGATTCATTGAGAAAATCTGAGTAACATTTCCATTGACAATCTTGATTTGTTAGTCCCGATAGCAGGGGAGGGCATGAAGTATATCAGGGAAATTATGACGTAAAACAGGCTTAAATAAGAAGAATATCAAACAAAAATGTGTCAAACTAGCATTTATGCAGGTAAACTACGGGAATCTACGGGGTTTCACACCTTCCAAACCCCCCAAAAAATTGTCATGACCCATAAACCAACCTAACCTAGCAATTTAAGCTGCTGTAACTAGGTGTGCCCAATGGGAAGGTTGATGGGGGGTTCTGCACCCCAAAATCCCCGGGGAGACATTCTCTTGACCTTGGTATATACGGCAAGATAGAGCTACATCCATACTGTAAACAATAAACCAAATACCTCTATATATCAAAACACCAAACTGTCCAATTTTCCTTCGCTTCACTCGCTTCGTTTCTAATATTTTTTTTCTGGTATTTGGGGAACTTTATGAGCTCAGATATCAAACTACGTTACTCTTGGAAATGCAACCCCACACCTAATTTAAAGAATCTGAGCTTACCATATGGTAGAACACATCACTCTATGATAATTTTTTTCACAAATTGATAATAACGGAGTTAAAGAGGGTATAAAATCCACTATTTCCAGGAGCCGTAGTAACCTTCCGCTCCAGCGCCACGACAAAATGACAAAAAGTCGTTAAGAGTGACGGGAAATCAGACGGATTTGTAACGGATAACATATGTGAGGGAAATCAAGTAAGCCAATTAGATTCGTGCATGAACGTAACATGATCATAGACACTCAATAGAATCAATCAGATATGGAATAGATCATCACGTGATAATAGAAGCTGGGCCTAGGAGAAGGCAGTTGAAATTCAAATCAGTTCCATCATGGCTAGACAGTGTGTAGGTTGTGAGAACAATTATTTCGATTTCACTGCGAAATATCAACAAAATTACGAAGCAAGCTTACTAAATCTACATCACGGTGTACTGCCAATGGAAGTAAAATGCCCATACTGTAAGACATCATGTCATTACTGAAATGATGAGACACCAGTGAGTTTGTGGTGCATGGAAAAGAATAAAAAACACAAAAAAAAATAACATAAGTATATTGTAAGCGAAAGCAATTCCCGCCAACAATGGCCTGGAATACTCCGAGGATCCCAGTGACCTGCAGCCTGGTCCGTCTGGAGTTAATGCTTCAGGTAAGATGTGGTTAATACTGTCCCTGGGTTTAGACTCTCTTCTGCCAGAATATACAAGGTGAAGATTTTACAGACAAGATGGGGGTATAAAGGGGCAAAGTCCCCTTTATCTACTAAAAACGTGTCAGATACCTACTTTGCCCAGGCTCTATCCTGCCTGAACATATGAGGTAAAGATTTTGTAGACCAGGGAGGGGATAGGGGGTGGTGGCAGCCCTCCTGAAAGGAGGTTTAAGGGAGCAGAGCCCCCTATATAACCTGGAAATGTGTTAATATACTAGGCTTACTAGTATTTTACCAATATTTCTCAAAATTCCCAGATATGTAGGCCTACCATGCCCTCCCTAGCTATCAAGACTGATATCATAGTTGTGCTTCGTTTCCAAAGGAAATGAGTGTCAGATTCGTTCTGAACACGACGAAAGTTATTGGAAAATTATTCTATTCACCCAAAAAATGGTATGGGGTTGCATTTCCAAATCAACCCAAACTACAATGGCTTTTAAGGTCTATTTCTTCTTCATTGCCACTTTATAGTCTTAACCTAGAATCGACACAATACCGAAAACGAAACATTTCTTCCCAGCCTTCTGTCACCAAATTTGCCAGGAATCCCCCTATCAAAATTGGCACCTGGAAATGCACATTTGCACATGCCTAGAAGGTTCTTTGGACGTAGTGACACATGAACTGCTGGGCACAATGAGATCTGCACACAGCCCAATGTTTACTCTTGACACATAAACAAGATGATCAACTTGGTTAGAATTGGGCTCTCTCACCTCTACTCATTTACGTATGGCAACTTTCTTGGTTTGTATCGTTCTCTAATTTCATACAAGTATTATTACCCAACAATACCACTACCTCATACTGCATTCTGTCCAAATTACCTAACAAAAAGACTCTGCTTGTAAATGAAATATATTCAAAAGAAACAACAAAGGCTGGGAGAAACGAAAAAAAGAGAAAATTCTCACACGACCATGAATCACTGAATTCCTTCTTGTATCTGGTAAAGTGTATAGTTTTTGCCAAAGAATACGCAGAACACTTACCCATAAAGTATTTCCTACATATGGCCAATTTTCTTTCATTCGGAAGTCTTTCTACGTTCATGGTTAAAGTATTAGCCTTGTGTGAGATCTGTCAACTGGCTTGTTTATCTTCTTCTCTACTTAGCCATTGATCCGGGTTGTGTAGTGTGGATTTCATTACATCCTCTCTCGTTTCTTTTTACTATTATATATATTTGTGCGATCCAATTACTTTATTTGTTTTCTATTTCTATTTTTGATTTTTTATATATTGAGCGATATTACTTTCTAAAATATTTTTGAAATATTTAAATCCAATAGGAAATAAGAGCTAATATTAGGTGCATCGAACAATGTAGCAAATATTAAATAAATTCATACTTAACCTATTAACATAGGATTAGCATATTAGTATACGAAAGTTAATGAAAACTACTAACTTCAATTGACCTTGGTTAAAAGCTAAGAACTATGAACAAATGCCGGTATCTATTT